TGCTAACAGTGCTGTCCACTATGTCTCCTTAGCTATCCCAGCATCCTGACGATCCTGACAGAACCCCAAAATCTAGCCAGCAGGGAAGTTGGCAAAAGTAGGACATTGTTGCTCTGGGAATGAGTGGCAAACTGCCTCTATCCCAGGACCCCTCGCATGGTAAAACCAGCAAAAAGTAATAGACAAGGGCTCCCACCTTGGGTAAGGTCCAGCCCCCATTGACCGCTGATCTGTAGAGCTGAGATAGGCCCTCTGCAAGCCCAGCACATCCTCAGTCTTGGCCTATCTGGAGTCTAGGAGCTAGGACAAGTGTATCATCAACCTGACTTCGGCGAGTGGTGGGTCACCTTTGAACATCGTTACCAGACAGTGTTAGAGTCAAGCCAAGAAATCCAGCACTGTCCGGTAAGATGCCCACAGAAGCCCAGGTGTGCTTTGGCAGGAAGATACAGGGTAGGTTATGCAGTTTCCACCCTCAGGGAGCTGGTGCCATGAACAGCCAAGGATTATATGCGCATTGGAATAGGCCAGCAGAGAGGAGTTGACCTTGACTTATACTGCCTGCTTGGTCCAAAGCAAGGGGACTGCTGGGTGCTGCTGGTCTGTAGTTTAGTACCTACTTGATACAGGAAGGCAAGGCATCCCAGACTTGAGGAACCCCACTAAGGGTCAGTACACAGCTCCCAGATCTGGGTGAGGCAGCTTTTGGCATGAGGCCCTCTGAGCCCAGGCTGAGACTTAGCCCTTTAGAGCCTTTGTTGCAGTTCCACCCAGCCCACACCTGCTAGGTGTGGTGGCAACACCTGCCTGGGTGTTGTAGGCAGGACCCAGGTACCCGAGTGTCTTAATCCCCAGAGCACTGGTAGGGGGGTACCCCCAGGGCAACGGTAGGAAGCCCCTAATCCCAGGACACAGAGAGGCTCTCAGAGGTACCTGGTTAGAGGAAGCTCTCCTAAAAGCCCCTACCCCCAAGGTTAACTTTCTGCCCCATAGCCCAACCTTGGATAGAGTAGGCGATGTGTGGAACTAGAGCTTCTGGGGACTGGGATCAGGAGGCGGCTCCATTGTTGCATGCAGGGCTCCGCCGTCATCATTACCAGGCAGTATTAGAGATCAGACACTATCCAATGCTGCCCAGTAAGATGGCCACGACTGCCCAAGTTGGGTATGGAGGCCGCCCAGCAGAGAGTTGAAGAGGACTAGATTCCATGGTCCTAACCTCCAGAGTACTGCAGAATGAGGGTAGCCCCAGGACAACAGTAGAGAGCCCTTCATTCTGAAGGGCAAAGGGGAGACCTTATAGTACCCATCTCCAAAGATAGGAAGTGGGGAGCTCAACAGCTTGAATTAGAATCAAGTTCTCTTTTGGAAATAATAGGAAAAAAATTTAAGATGGCAAGCTCATGGACCCTGAGGCCTTTGTCTACCTCTCCATGAGGCTCAGAGGAAGGGTTTGGCATCAGTGGCCATAGATAAGCTCCCGTGCCCAGCCAGACCTGGCCTGCAGTGGATTAGCTTGGGGCCCAGGTGAGAACTTGGGAGCTCTTTGACAGCCCTGAAGAGTTCCATTTTACCAATGGCAAAGTCATGATCAGGCCACAGATAGGCCCTCCATCTAAGGATACCTACTACAGAATATCCTGGACATCAGGCCCAGTCCCATTAGGCCAGTCTATTTAAGGTTGGTAAGGTTCAGCCAGTGGACAATGGGCCTCTGTCTCTGGGTGTCTACTTTCCTGCCCAGCCCCCACTTGCCTTTCTCAGGGCCAAAAAGGGGTACTGGGATGAGGGACCAGGTGGTGGGGTTTGCTGTCTGATGGTCTGGGGTCCGACATTTTAAGTATATGGGAACAGCAGCCCCCAAAAGAAGTACAATGATCACATCCCCACAGCCTGCAGTGCCAAGCCACATCTGCACAGGTATGTTTTGAATAGGAGTGTTCTTTGACCCTCTTGTTGCTAAGGGCATGGCCTATAGTCTCCACACAGAGCCAGAAAACTGAGCACCTGCCCCCAAGGATACTTGGGACTGAAAGAGACCAAGTCTGTGCCTTCCTCATCCCATCTCTGTCTTTACACGAGTATTTCCTGAGTTTGGAGAGACTGCCAAAGCAGTTTATCATGTTTTTCTGGCATCTCCTGTCACAGAGGCCACACGGGTGGTTCAGGCCCTGTCCTGATTTCCTTGGACCACAACAAAGGTCTCACTGCCTTTGAGCAGCTGCTGGTTAGAACTCTCCAGCCCCTCTCCCCATGGCCAACAATTCTCAGAGGACCTGACTTGGAGCAAAGGCATAGCAGATGGGGGTGCACAGACTGTGTCTGGGGCTCTCAAACACCTCCCAGATATACTTTCCTTTCCCTGAGGTTTTTGTTTGTTTGGTTTTTTTTTTTTTTTTAGCTCTATCCTATGAGACCCATAAAAATCAATGCTTGAAGACTTTTTTTAAAACTAAGTGGAATTTCAGTTCTGTGGGAGCTGGATGAGGGTAGCACCAAGGATGTTGCCTTTCCCCTTCTGGTCGTGTCAAAGATACAGGGAAGACAGATGGGTATCTGATGAGCCTGGTGAGCCTGTGTTGTTGACTACTCAGGCAGAGCACTTCTTAGGGAACACAGAAGGGTAGGGTACAAAGCTGGTCAGGCCACAAGCCAAAGGGTCAGACCACCCTCTCTGTACTGAATCCTGTTCTTGCCTAGCAGGCTGAGATGTACAGGGACAGGTGCCCAGACAGCAGAAAGAGAGAGAGAGAGAGAGAGAGAGAGAGAGAGAGAGAGAGAAATTTGTGTGTAGGGCAGTCTCTGATATGAAGAGCCTGCAGGTCCTCAGCAAAACTTAAAAGCTAAACAGATGCTAGAAGTCATTAGTTGGGAATGGGTGCCTTGGTGTCAAAGCACTGCTGAGTTTGGGAGAGATCCTGCTTTATCCAGCACAAGGAGGGGTTAGGAAGAGTCAAGAAACATGACAGAAATGGGTCAAGAAATGAAGAGCAAAAATAGAGGTTATAATTGGAGCCCTGTGTGGTGCCCATCTGGTCAACTGTGTCTGGGAAGTGAGGTTTGGATCATGGTTCCCACAGCATCTACCAGGCTTAGTTTAGGAAAATTGAGGGATAGATTCAGAAGTGCAGGGCCCCCAAGACTCCTGTGCAGTAAGCACCCCCTTTTTCCAGAGTGCCTTAATCCCCACCTGCAAGTACAGCGCAGGTAGGGATTTATGGCAGAGGAATGCAATCCCAGTGTGAAAAAGTGAGTCGCTGGTTAACTTGCCCAACAGCCCTTAATCAATGGTGAGGCCAGAGAACAAAGCTCTGAAATTCAACCTCTCCCGCAGCAGATCAGCCAAACTTAGATGCCAGCGGCTGTGGGGGGTGGGGGCAGGAAAGGCTTGTCTTGTCTACACTCAGGCTACTTAGCGTCTGTTAGAACTACGTGTCTTCAAGGCAAAGCCGCCATTTCATCCACACAGCGGTCAGCATTGTCCCTCAGCCCTTCAGCTGTATAGCACACCCTCCAGATCCACTGCACCTGAGTACTAGGCTCCTTTTTAGGCCATTTTACGTAATCCTAACAACACACCAAGAACATCCTGACCAATTGAGTTTGCAAATAAAGCATTTGCAAATTACGAAGATGTCTGAGAATTAACAATGGACCGCATCCATATTTTATGGCTCAGTTGCATTTTCATAAATGCAAAACATTTTGCTTAATTCAACAATCTGCCAATTGGTCTAACATTTTATCTGGGTTACTAGAAAAACAAAACAAAACTGAACTACTTTTCCAATGCTCAAAAAAGGCTTAAAATGTTCACCATATATTAATTAAAACCCTGCACTCTTGCATCCTACGGCTTGTGTTCAAGAACAATTAAACAATATACTCTATATTATGCCTTAAGAAAACTAACCTTACTTCCTTTCAACGTTATCACCTCCTAAGTTTAAACTCAGAGTTGGCCATCTGGATACAAACTCAAGGTTGAGCATGCGTGGACACCAAGCACAGGCTAACAGTTCCCCCAACCAGGCATTTATACCGCTGTTCATGAGTGCTGTGTTATTTAGCATAGAAGAAAAAAAAATCTTTAAAATAGACTTTGACCTTGATCCTGAGTAATGGTTGGAGGAATTTGTTCTGTTTCCTTCAGTATGGTCCTGGCTTTGTTGGCACCTCAGAAATTAACAAGTGAGAAAAAGCCAGACAAATGAGGGCAAGACAGAGCAATTCTGATCTCTCATTGTCACCAATCTACAAGTCGCAGCCGACCTCTGACCACAGGTCACTCTGGGTCACGGCTGCTGGCAAAAGCAAGCCCTTCCCAACACAGAGACCCGCCAGAGGGTGAGGTCCTCAGGCCTGCCAGCCGCACCCTTCCCTGCACCCACCTCTGAGGCGGCAGTCTACTGTGGCGGAAAAAGTATCTCAGGAACAGCAGCAGTGGCTGCTTTAAGAAAGAACTTTCCAGAAGGATATATTTCCAGGAATGGCAGGAGTCTGTTTTCTGCTCTCCAAGTGCTTGAACCCACCTGGTCCAAAGATGCAGTCTGTGGAGCCCTGGAGACTCCCAAGCCTAGTCCAAGATGGCTCCACATCTGAATCCCGGCTGTGGCACAGTTGAAGGAGCCACTTTCTTCTTTGGAAAGAAAGCCTGTTCTGTTCTGCACCCACCAATATACAGTTCATAGACAGAGGCTGATCTACGGGGCACAGGTTTGTCACCACCATTCGTCCTACTCCATGTCAGACACATAGGGGCCGTCCAGCCTCTCCCTACAGTGGTATTCTCAGGCCTGTGTGGCCTCCCTCCTGCCCGTCGCTACCTGCCCCAACAGGTTCCTGACAGGATCCTCCACTGCTGAGCAGAGCTGCAAGCCGCTCCACCCCCAGTATTGAGGCAGCACTGTGCCTGTGCCCTAGGACCCACCAGGTGGGGTGTAAACCAAGGTTTATAAAGGATATAAAGAGGCTTGGGCATCCATCACCCCCGTATATACCTGTCGGCCGTGGTGGATAGGGCTGGGCGCCCAGCTTTGGCATCAACCCAAACTTTCCCTCAGCCGGATTCAGCCTCAGGCGTTGTAGCTGGGGAGTCACAGGAAACTATGACTGTCTTCCCTTCAGGTGAGTCTCAAACACAAAGGAAACTAGGGTGCACGGTGGACTGGCACAGGTCGACTACTCAGGGACAATGGGGAGGAAAGAAACAGCTCGCAGCCAGGAAGGGGAAGGACAGTGTGGCCTGGGCTCGCCTTACATGTAGCTACTCACTCCGCCCCATGCAGGTGTCTGTTGCCTGCCAGCCAATCTCTGCTCCTGGCCCCCAACAGGTGTGTCCCCCGGGCTCTGATAGGCTAAGAGGGAGGCAGCTCTGATGACGCAGGCAAGGGGGCGGTAGGCTCACACATTCCTGCCCCCATCTTGCCCGCCAAGCCCAGGTTGAACAAAAACCAGGGTAGGGAGGCCCCTGTGGGGCATGGTGCTTGGGCGGCTAGGCCCAGGCCATAGGAACTGCTGTAGGCAGCAGCTCCTTTCCAGATCTGTGGGTACTGCAGGCTGCCTTAGGAGGGAGAAAGGTGCATATTGTACGAATGCACGGGACCTGACCCCCTCACCTCTCAGACACCAGCCCTCAACTCTGGCTATTTCCGCTGGCTGGAATCTATTTCTCTGCATCTATTCCTGACCAGAGCTTAAAGGAACTGCATTCTCCTAGCCCCTCTCTATAAGCAGGTTGCCTTAGAACTCCACAGACACAAATACTGGGGTCACAGGCGTTACTAGGGGGCCTTCTCTGAAGTAGGACTAGCCTGGCACAAAGGCTACTGCAGTCCCAAGCACCCTAATGAGCAGGGCATGGTGGCTCATGCCTTTAATCTCAGCACTCCAGAGGCAGAGGTAGGTGGATTTCTGGGTTCAAGGCCAGCCTGATCTGAAAAGCAAGTTTCAGAAGCTAGGGCTACACAGAGAAATCCTGTTTCAAAAAACAAAAACAAAAAGGATCAGACTAGTGGTGCAAGGTTTCTTGTTAGGGCTTGGAAAAGCATATGGTCTCTGGTTCTGGGGACGGGAGGGTATGGCCCCAGGGTAGTCTGGGAATGAAACCATTAAGTCCCATTCTAAGAGTTCCCTGTGATTCTACCAGACATGTTTGTTTCTTGGGCTCCCAGGGGAAGGGCCTATAATGAAACGACAAACGACTCCAGCAATTAGCCAAACCAGCAGAGAGATCCCAGGAGGCCCAACTATTTTCCATAACGAACTCAGCAGCTCTGTTGGAAACTCCTAATTATGAAGGACCTGTCTCCTGGGCTCCAACACTCGGTGTCCCTCTCTGCCTAGGAGTAGAGAAAGCTTTGCAAGGTCTGCTGGCTCTGTCCTGTGTACAACCTTCAGGTGCAAACTTTCCTCCAGGGAGGCTGGCCTAAATCAGGTTGTAGTTTCCAGCAACAAATGTTAGAGTTAAGGCATTGCCCTTCAGTTGTCTAGACTAGCCACTTAACACTGAGGGGTCTCAGTGCTTGCCCTAGACACCCTAATTCACATCTCACTTGCCTGAACCAAAGAGTTATACTGGAGGTAGGGGTGTCACAGCCTAACCTACATTCCTCTCCCTCTCTCTTCTTCCTTCTCTCCTTCTCCTCCTCTTCCTCTCCTTCTCCTCCTCTCCCTCACCTCCCCTCTTTTCCCCTCTCCTCCCCTCCTTTCCCTAGAAAAGCTGTCCATGCAGCATGAGGGACCTCTGATTTCCTGATTCCCACTTCTTCAGCCTGTCCCTTCTCAGTCATCAGGACCCTTGCTCAGCCTGATGTTCACACAGAGTATCTGCGTTTGGAGGAGAAGAATGAGGCCAAGATACTTCTGGATACTGGGCACCTGTGTTCTGGGAAGACTGAAGCATTTCCTTCTGACCCCAAACCTAAGGATGTTTGCCAGTAGGCACAGAACAAGAGAGGTGTTTCTAGCTAACTTCCTGGCTCAGGTTTACCTGTCCTTGTCTAGTGGGACTCTCAGTCATCTAAGCCTGGCCTGGGAAGATGGGCTGAGTTTGTAGATACTCCCAGGGGTGATGAGAGCAGCCACTACCCACGGAGCCCTAGAATATGGTGGGGGCCAGACAGGACCCTGAGGTAGAGACCCTTGGGGCTATGTCTACATAGCTTAGTTTTGGTATCTGTAACTGCTTTGGAAGGACCAAAGAGCTGGAACTAGAGAAGAGGTGTAACACATTAGCCTAAAGGATAGTTGAGATACAGGTCAGGTCTAGGGGCATAACATGACTGAGACTAGCTCTATGCTCTGATAGGAAGAATAGGGTCTTCAGATACTTTCTGCTCCGACTGGCTTTCTCCTGGGTGGATCTGCCTGAAGGCAGAGGCACTCCTTGCCAAGGTAGAAAAGACTCGGGGGCTTCTGGTAGAAACATAGCAGCCCATGGAGGGACCTGTCTGTTGTCTCCATCTGTGATGCAGTTGTGTCCACCTGTTCTTTTGTCTGCACAGAGGGTGCTACCCTGCCCAGACTCAGGGAAAGAGTACAAGTACAAGCTGGGCCCTACTTTATAATGGACCCAGCTCTAAAAGCTCTGATCTCTGCTCAGATGCTCCAATTAAAGTCTGATGAGGACATTTCCAGGGCGTGTCCTGGGAGAGCCCAACAGCTCTGAGCTGTGGTACATATCCCTTTGTCTCAAGGTGGCACAGGGTTGGTGAGCACCCTAAATGTCACATGAACATGTAGATATCTTCTGATGAGATTGAAAGGCCTGGGCCTGGATGAGGAGGTAAGCTGAAAGGCTCACCCGGTTCCTGCTTACATACACAGGCATCTGAACCTGTCTCTGGGTGGGATCCTACATAAATGTTCTTTCCATGGTCATCAAGAGCTGGGTGCTACCAAGATGAACAGACACATGCCATCAGTTCTAGGTCACAATGCTGAAGAGCTAGTGTAACTCCTCCTTCTTCCCTTTCCTACATGGCTGAGCATCAGGAAGAAACTCAATTATAAGCTCAGGACTCTTCCTTTCTTGTAGATGCAGCAGTGAAACCTCCTGTCCTCACAGATCACACATCTATTGCCAGGGTGTCAGCACCTTCCACACAGACCCAGAAAGCTCTCAATGGGAGTTTGTTTTGTTAGCCTCAAAGCACAGAGACAACCAGTTCTTCACAGGAGCCTCAGTGACATGGCTCTACCAGGGCCCTATGCAGAAGCGTCTACTGATATTCCTCTAATTGTCTTGGTCCCAGATGGAAATGGTCTGAATGAAGCTGAATTCTGGTCTATTCTGTCATAGGCCATTCACAGAAGTTGTGCTGAATGGCCAGTGACATTCTAGAATGATGTTGGGGAATAAAGTTGTTTTTAAATGTTTTCTTTGGCTGTCTTGAGGAGTCTGGACTGGCTGACCACTGGCTTCTTATTCCTGCAGTTATCACCCACTGTTTTCTTGTCCTTCTTGACTCCTAAATAGAATAAAATGACCAGAGCTATCTGTGTCTATAGTAGCCAACTGGTCTAGAGAAGACAAGGTTTCTACATCTTATCACAGGATTTTGAGCAAAATAATAAATTACCTCAGGATATCCCACTGCAGAGCTTCCTGCTTGAAGAGTTGGAGCCTAGGCTGATCATCCAAGTCCAGATCCAGCGTCATGGTGGGGTTCAACCTAAGGCTATCCATCCTTTTCCCATCTAAAACAAGGTAAAACTTGCTGATGCCTGGGTGCTGATGGCCAGCCTGAGCACCCAAATGGTCAGTCTGAGCTGTAGCAGGGTCCACTACCTGCCATGTGAAAAAACATAAGGAGGAAGGTCTGGGACTCATGTCTATCATAGAGCTTTCAGGGCAGGTCCCAGGAGAGTTCTTGTTCTGTAAATTCCACCTGTCAAGGAGGTCAGTGATAATGGGTACAATGAGGGAGCTATTGTGGCCTTGCTTCACACAACACACCAGCTGTGCTGGTGTCAGAATCACTGTGAAACCAGACAAAGGTTCTGCCTGGCCCACCTGCTGGGCAGGGCAGTGTTACCATGACAGCAAGGGAGGAATAGTGGGTGGGAATATATAAGGAAGGGACCTGGGAGGCCTGACAGCTCCCCTCTGTGGCCTCCTCAGAGAAGGGGCTGGTCTGAGATGTGTGGCAGAAACCTCCAAAGTAGTCTGGTGGGAGAGCTGGCCTGAGGGAACCCAGCCTCCAGTCCCTCGGCCCTGGTCAGGCTGAGGCCTCCTTGGGTGCAGCAGACACAACAAAGGCCTATTGTGCTGGCAGCCAGGCTATTTCCTTCATGGCTGCCAGTCTTGTGAGCACCCAGAACAAGCTGAGGAGGGAGTCCTACTTGCTGCCAGGGGCTCATCTTCTCTCTGGGACAAACTGGGCGAAAAAAAAGGAGGGCTCTGGAGTCTCCATTTTTGCTATGATTCTCTCTCAAGCACTGCAGGCTTCAAGGTTCCCTAACTCAGAGACAGTCCATTTCTGGCTTTTCTTCCATGTGAGCCAGAAACCTTTCCACTGGCTTTGATTCTTCTAATTTGGACACTAACCCCTGGGACAGATATGGGTGGATGCTAAGAACTACCTGACCTACATAGGGCCTATCTTAAAGCCAGCACCCCCTTCCAGGTAGTTTAACCCAGGTGGATCTAACTCTGTTACCTCAGTTGAGGGCCTTTTGCCACATTGGAGAGGGAGCTCTAAGCTCTCCTATTGCTCTAGGGAAGGGTTGGTATCTCCTTCACTCATGATGAACAGTCTGTAGGTTATTTTTGTCTCTCCCTGCTCTAGCCACTACTGTCCTGGAACACAGACCATTTCTGTTTAAGAAATCTAAAAGGAAAACTTAGCTCATACAGTAGTTCTAGGGCCTCAGCTCCCCCCAGGGCCAATAAAGTCCCATCCTAGTATTTGGGATTCAAGCAAATTGGGGGTTCTCCCCAAGAACTGGGGGTTCTCACCAGTTCTAACTCTTTATGCCTCCAAGCCCCTTCTCTTCCTACACTAATCTGCCTCATCTTCTCAAGAAGGCCCATAGGATTGGGAGAACTGGAGTATTTATAGAGCCCTGAGTCTATAAATTTGTTTCCTGCCCTAGGTCCATGGGGCAGGTGCTTCTCAGCATGTTGCTCCTTCCTAAGGGTAGGAACTAACAGATAAACACACCTGAGAAGTGGTCCAAACACAGATGCTGCACAGACCTGCTTTTATACATCTTTTTATCCAATCTTCCACCCACTTGTCTCTTGAAGCTCTTCCATCCTCTCAAGGGCCCATAGACCCTTTGGCCATGGAAAATTCAGGGTGTGAGGGTTCAAGCAAAAAAAAGTCGTCCTGTTAACAGGTCCTTCCACAGCCCTGCTGCACCATCTTAGAGTAGGTGCATCATGTGGCCTTAGGCCTGACAGAGAGAGGTGACACAAGGACAGAGAGGCCAAGAACAAGGATCCCCACCTACTCTCTTGAATAAGTCTTGAACTCCCTCCCTCCCTCTGTGCTCTAAGCTTCAGGGACAATCTAAGTATCTAGTTAGGGTGAGAAGGACAGAACAGACACTGTTAATACTGGACCAGGCCCTGTAAACGGCCTCAGCCTTGACATGGCCAACCTCTGCCTAAGCCCTCCACTCTCCTGTGTCTTTCCCAGGCCACCCTGAGGGTTGTGATATTAACCATAGCATCTTTTGAAATCTCAGGAAAACATGAGCAGAAAACACAGAACTTACACTCACACTCACTTAGACACAGTGTTCTGCTACATTTGTCTGAACTGAGACTGTATACTTATTCTTCTCTGTTGCTTTTTGAGATCCACCTTAATTCTTCATAACTCCATCCAGGTTTCCAGAGGCTCAGCCTGTGGTCAGATACCTGAACTTCTCAGTCCAGCCTATCAGCTTCTGATGTCCACATGCTTTGCAGTTTTGTTCCACTCAGCCATGAGATCACAGGTGTCCTAAGCCTCCCCCATGGAGATAATTTACATCAGGATGGCAGTAACCCTGAGAGGAAAGCTGAGGATAGAGTTCTGGGTAGCCTCTGATCTGTTCAAGAAGGTCCATGTGGAGAGTTCTGGTGGTTGATACATTTGATAGTTCCTATTGACGGTAGGAACTAAGGCCAATTCATGATTTACTGTGCTGTAAAAAAAAAAAAAAAAAAAATTCCCAGCATTTGGTTGGGAAGCAGGTGATCACTCTGCAGAACAGACATAAGAAAGAATGGGGTCTGGAGAGCTGACGGAAGAGGTCCTCCTCCTGGCCTGCTTGGGCACCTGCATACACATGGTACTCATACAAACAAGCAGATCCATATTCATAAAATAAAAATGTATCTTTTTTTTTTTTTAAGGAATTTGCTGTTGAGCTTCTATGGTATTTTTGGGTGTTTATCAGTCCCTAGTATTGATGACCATCACAGGTAGGCTCTTGAACATGAGTGTGAAGGTCAGGATCCAAGATGCCTCTGCACCAAACCCTTTATACCAAACTCCATACCAAACTCAAGGAAACTTAAGGACCCTTCAAATAAAATTTCAGAAACCTCAGCACCATAGGCTCTTAGTAATCATGCCAAGCAAGCAGCCCTGAAGCTCAGCTGGCCCATGGTACCTGAAAACCTACTCACAAACCTCCAGGGAGGCTGGCTCTCTAGGGCTTGGAACAGAAAAGGAGCTGGGTAGAGAAATCCCAGCTGGTGGAACCAAGACGGCTATGGAAATCTGAGGCAAATCAGTCTCAAAAGGCTCCAATTCAGCCTCACCCCTCTCAACCTGTCACCTAGGCATCTGGAAGCACAAAACTGAGGATGTGAAGTCTGATAGGACTATGGGAATGGCTGTCCTGAGAAAGGGTCTCAGAAGTTTGAGGCCAACTTGCTGTCCTCTTGAATGAGAGAAGATGCCCAGGATGAGTGGTAGCATGATTGTTACTTTTTGTACTAAAAGAGCAACCTTGAGAGCTAATGGACTTCCACAGTAGGGCTTTGAGTAGCCTCTGTGAAGGAGGGAGTGAGGAGGTCAGGGTTTCACATACCTCACAGCCCTATAGCTCAGGATTCCTCAGACCCTGAGAAGGAAGGGGAAGTGGATAGGCAGAGCCACTTCCTGCTTGAGTCTGGCTGGCTGAACCCTGCCCCACAGCTGTATCTTTACCTGATCCCACCCTCTTGCCTCTAACCTCCAGGGTTTCCCAATTTCCTACTGTGTTTCACCCTAAATTCAAGTGGTACTTACAGGTCAGTTATGTGAGTGGCCCAAGGTGGGTCCAAGCCAGGCTGGGCTTTTTGCTACTTTGAGGAAGGCAGGAGTCCAGGTAGGAGCTGCAGGGAAAGTGTCTTTGGTGTTTGTTGGATGAACAACCAAGGAATTGAGGCCTGCAATGTGTCCACATGACCATACAACTCAGGGCTCCCACCAAAGAGAATGATTCTTACACAGCTGGATCTACTTCCTGATGAACTCATGTCAGCTTTGTATTTGCCTGGGACACACACCAGACCCTCTAAGTGGTTGTGAAAAACAACAAAATATTCAAGATCGATTTTTTTTTTTTTTAATTTCTAGCAGAGGATGGGTTTGATCTGGGTTATGGACCCAGCATGCTTCTGCTATACTGCTCTGCTTCAAGATCAGTCTTTTATTGGCTCTGATTCTGCGTTTTGCTTTATTTATTTACTTTGAGAAAGGATCTCATGAAGGTCAGGCCATCCTTGAACTCTCAATGTAGCTAAGGGTGACTTTTAACTCCTGATCCCCCTGCCTCCACCTGTAAAGTGCTACTGGTTTATTGGTCATTCAAGTCTGTAATCTCAGCACTGAGGAGGGTGAGTTTGAGGTTGGCTTGGCCTACAATATGAGATCCTCTCTCAAAAATAAAATACAACAACAAAAAGTGGCTTTGAGCTAGATGTTGTGGTACATATAACCCAAAATGTTCAGAAGGTTGAGGCAGTGGGATACCTTGAGTCAAAGAGCTGGATATGAGCTTGGGCAAATTCTCTTATCTAAAAAAAAATACCATGAACAAATAAATGTAAATAAATAACCTTGATGCTGAGCCTTTCCCTGAGAGTGTAGGAAGCTGTGCAGGCTTTGATCAGCACTGGAAGAAGAGGAAACCTGTACTTGTGAGGTCAAGCAAATCTGGCTAGTGTTAGTCAGTATACAGAAAGACTAGCTCTGTGTACCCATGGCTAGCGCTGGACATTGCATCTCCTGGTGTCTACACTAGGGAGTTGCAGAGAATCCAAACACAGCTAGCTTTTTTATTTTATTATTTTTCACCCATGGTGAAATCTAGAACCCTTACACAGATGTAGCCCATGGCAGCTCAGTATACAAGTGGGTTCCTAGTAAGGGAAACAGGGTCTGTCTCTGACATGAACTCAGTGGCTGGCTCTTTGATCACCTCCCCCTGAGGGGGGAGCAGCCTTGCCAGGCCACAGAGGAGGACAATGCAGCCAGTCCTGATGAGACATGATAAGCTAGGGTCAGATGGAAGAGGAGGAGGTCCTCCCCTATCAGTGGACTTAGAGAGGGGCATGGGAGGAGATAAGGGAGGGAGAGTGGGAATGGGAGGGAATGAAGGAGGGGGCTGCAGTTGGGATACAAAATTAATAAACTGTAATTAATACAAATAATAAAAGTTTAATTAAAAAAAAAC